TAGTTAATTATGATTTATGAGTTTAGCATAAAATAATATAGCACAGAAGAGAGGGAATGGGAAAATCTACATATGAGAGTAGAGAGGCTGGTATCACCAAGGTCCACCCTGGTACTTACCACTTGACCCAGTGGCCCCTATGCAATTCCCAACATGGACTCTTACAAAGCCCTTCTTCCTGGACTACAGGTCTGTTGCTACAATTTTGCTAAATGTCTTGAGACCATAATCAAATAGAAGAGAGAGTTAAAGGCACAAAGTGGTGTAAACTTACTAATCACAAAAGGAACATGACAAAAGTTATCTCTCACATCCAAACCAACACTGATATCTCATTTTTTCCAAATTCCTCATTATTGTAAGAGAATAAAAGAACCATAAAAGTATGTGGTAGGCTATAAGATAAAACTACAAAATACAGAGCTGGGTAATAACATTACTTATATAGCATTGATAAGGAGATGGTCCAAACCTAGGCTTCACTCCTAGTTGGATGTCAGAGCTCCCTAGGCCATCTACAAGCCACAACGGCACATGTCTATCATTCCACCAGCAGTATTGCTGTAGCCTTAGTTTTCTAAAGAGTCTTTATATGCTGGTGTGCTGTGCTAAAGTGAAGTTAATTAGCTAGGAAGAGCTTCTCCTGTGGGGTGCCACTGTTTTACACATATATCAAGTTCCTGATCCCCTTAACCTAGGATTTATCATATAGGGTGTGGAATAGTCAGAGCTACAAGATCCATCATGGCCATTGCAAGCAGGCCTCAATGTTTGATGACATTATCTTCTCTGTTTGAGACAATGTGAACAAGGATGGGAAGCACTATATGGAATCAACACTCGCTAGCCTCTCTAACCTAAGAACTCTAAAGAGACTGGTGGCACAGTCCAGTCAGTTTCTACATAGATCTAAGTAGAACTCTGCCAAGAGGAGCTAACTGGGGCCTGGGCTCCCTGATGGCAGCTATAAAACATGGGTGTTCTTGGGCAGACAATCAATACATGTACTATGACCAGGTTAGCAAGTGCCAGCACTTAGAGTACTGCCACTGCCGCCAGAGAATGTCTCAAACATCATTCTAAATTTCAGACTCCAGATATAGTGGAGTGGACTCCAGATATACAATGGCACCTGGTGTCAGACTAGGGGAGTCAGTTGTATGCTACATTTGGAGGAAGCAATTCAAGGTCCTTGATTTTGTCTCCCTATTACTCTTAAAGATAAGCAGGCACATGGAATATATTAATGGGGCATTATAGGAGTACCTTGAATGATATGCTTTTTATTGAAATTACACTGGTCTTTGTACCTATCAGTGTCAAATACAGTTTAACCAAAAGAATACTTAGTCCCTGTAGGGCTAGGACCATAAGTATACTTTGATGTCCTCTCCCCAACAAATGGTGCTGGGAACTTCCCTGCCTGGTTTCAGAACCTGTAATCCCTATGGCTAAGGCTGAGTGAGAGACCATGGGACCATAAGCCACTAAGGAGACAAAGCTTATCTCTCTGGCAGGGGTACAACCTTCACCCCCTTTACTTCACCCTGCTTGGCTCCAGGTGGATGACTGGTTAGACAATGATGGGTAAGATTCCTCAAGGGAGGGACAACCTAAGACAAGTATGGTTATGAAGGGCCCCCAGGGAAGCACTTGGGGGGGCTAGAAAAAGGGAGTAAGGGACACTCACCCCTGGGCTTTGACATGGCCTGAGTTCTCATTCTGTCTGTAAGAATTCTCCTAATATCTTGGCTACCTTACTTCACCTGCCTGACTTAAGCCTGAAACAATGTCAGAGGGTGCTGCAGCCCTAGGCAGGAACAGGCAGTTCCCCAGAGCAATCAGGCCTCAGGAAGAATGCATAAAATCCTGTGAAACTTGCTCTGCTAAGAATGCCCTCAATTTCCTGATAAGGGTCCAACCGTGAAATGAGATTGTGTCCCAAAGTTTTAAGGCCTTCTAGCTAACAGACCCTGACTCAGAATAAGCCCTCACAGTTCTTTGAATCTTATCTGTTGTTTGATCATTACTGCCTGACAGTGATGAATGAAAACCTTGCTTGAGGTAATGCTCCCAGAAAAGCAATAAAAGCCTGTCCAGGCAGGGGTCGGGCTGCTCTTTCTCTCAGAGAGTGGCCATACCATCACTTTTCTCCACAAGACTTCTATAGTCCATGTGGATTTGTTTGTCTCATCCACAATTTATGGACCCCACTGGATGGAGTCTGAATCAAATGGTATTAAGGAACTTCATAGCTTATAACTGGCACTGGGAGAAGACATCCACTGAGTATTTGTTTTACCCTTCTGAACACCTAAAGTCTTATGTTAGACCTGTGTTAACCACCATTTATATTGGAAAGTGGAAGACTAATATTCTTAAGATGCTCTCATTTCCATGGCAAAGCCTTTATCCTCTTTGTTACCTTTCTAAAAACAGGGACACTCCATAGGAAACTAAACAGCAATGAGATAAGCAACATGTATTTCAAGATCTTTGATTGGAACCAAGTATCTTGGTAAGGTCTATGCATCTCCTTCTCTTTCTCTACCCTGTTCACTGCTGAGGTAAGTCCTGTTTGTTGCCTATCCAATATCCATTCTTTCCTTCTTTCTTAGTAACAGAGCTCTGATTTAATTGGAGCCATGGAGTCATGAGCAGAGGTGAAAGGCCACATTTCTAAGACTTAGTCCCTTGCAGCTGGATATGGCTAAATGACTCAATTACATTCAATTACATGAAATGATAAATTGTTGAATGGCACCTCCCAGAAAACTCCCTAACAAGTAGCTGGATAAGCCATCTGGCCCTTTCCAACATTTCCAATCATCGCCTTCCTTCTACTTGCTAACTGGGATTCAGACAAGATGTCACGAGCATAACAGCCATTGTTAACTACAAGACAGAGTGAGGATGAAAGCCAGCATATTTTGTCAGGATGGAAGCCAGCGACAAAGATGGTGGAGCAAAAAATAAATTAAAAAAACATACATACATACATACATACATACATAAAATGAAAAAGAAAAGAAAATAAAAAGAGGAATGTTGATCTATTATAACTGTGGAGTTACCACATGGTCCCCAGCATCCTTTTACATGAGAGGAGCAAAGCTTTGTCTGCACAATTATTGAGTATTCTGTTTTATATAATTAAAGCTAATCCTAATTGGCATATTTCCTTGCACACTATATATTTTGTATGTGTCTGAGGCTCATTAAAATGAATAAAGGGAAAAGAATGGCTGTAGGTCTAAAAGTCTGTATAAGTCTGGGAAATAAAGAGAAATAGATTCTGTTGTTCCAATAGCAAGATAAGATAAACTGCAAGGATTTTATGGGGTGTAGACTATTAGAATAATAAGTGGTAATTAGGAGAAATCAAAGGCTACTACTGGGTTAATGCATTAGGATAGAATTTGATAAGCAAGAAAGAAGTATTTAAACTTTTAAAATACATAATTATATATAAATTAATTTTCAAAAGCAAACAAGTCAATTAAAAATGAGACAAAACTGAGAACAGGCATTTCACAGAAACACAAATGGCCAGTAAGCATACATAAAGATGTACACAACCCCATTAGCAAGAAGAGAAATGCAAATTAAAAGAGGCGATTCACAGTCAGAAGTTTTGAATCTGACCATTGCAGGTATTATAATGATGTGCCAGCTTAATGATGTGAAATGGATTTTTGTATAGGTAAATCTCAAAAACCTCAATGTGCATTGAAAAATGAAGAGTATGATTCATTATATAAAATACAACACCAGAATATAACTATATTTTAATGGAATAATATATATATAACTATTTTGCGAAAAAAGCAAGGAAATGACTCATACAAAATTTAGATAATGTTATTTCTGAGTGGGAGGGATATACTTTAGGAAAGGCCTTTTTATAAAGTTTCAAAAATACTGGTATTTTTCTGCATCTTCAGCTCTGTAGTGTACCCGGATATTTTTTTATTATTGTTCTTTAAAATATGCAAATATGGGATGTATTTATATGTGCATATTTCACAATTAAAAGTTTTAAAAAATTCAGTCAGGTTTTAAGGAGAGCAAATTGAGTAATCATCAAGCTCTATATTGTAAGTCAAGATTTCCTTGTTACTATGTAACCAAACAAAATAGAGAATTCTCTTGGCTTCTGAGGCTGATGTAAGATAGAACCTTCAGCTGTAACCTCTATTTTAAACGTTCTTGTTCTTCACACCTGCCTCCCTGTTTTCAATTATTTCTATAAGTATTTCAGTATGAAGGTGATTTTATATAATACTTTGCAAATTAAATGTCATCTTTATCTTTCTACTTTGGTTTTCCAAGTAAAGTTTCCATTAAAAAAAAACAAACCAATGCTATTCTTTAAAAAGTGTACTCGAGTTAAATGCAAATTTTGAACACCTGTTATCAAAATCAGCTGTCCGTTACCAGTGAGAGCTTCACAGTGGAACGAACCTTAGGGAACCAGTTTCTGAGACTGGAGAGAGTCATCACCTACCACTACAGATAGAGGACGGGTTGCCGGCCTAACTGTACTCCGCCCCTTTTGCCCACTGGTTCCGGAAGCAAGGAAAAGCTCTCCAGTCTTTCAACCACTCCCCCCGCACCCACCTTCTCCAAGGGCCCAGGCATTTAGCCTTGGAGCCAGAGCCCCGCCCACTAGTAAGCCCCACCCCCCGGCTGGAGTGCCGTAGGAGCGCCTTTTAGGAGGAGGGGCTAGCTGTGCTCGCTGCTTGGAGGCCATGGGTCCATTCCCTCTGTCCCCATTCTGTAGGTGAGCCTTAGCAGAAGCGTCTTTGCTGGTGGCCAAATTCCCACACATTGGTGAGTTACTTGGGGTAGTCGGGGCCCAGACGCGGCAGTGGCGGGCGAAGGGCCCACTGCCGGCGCGTGCGCGCTGGTCTGTCAGCCAATCTGCTCTCCGCTCCCCGCCCACGGCCTTTGACCCTGCGCTCCCGCGCCATCCCGCCGGAGTGGCGAGCTGTGGTCCTCGATCCCTTGGCCCACCAGGTTCCCAAACTCTTACCCCATATTTTTGTCTGGGCTAGTTTTATTGCCTGCTACCTTACTTTATTCCAACCGCCACTTGGGAGTGGAACCTCCTCCCGTCGGTCTTCCCCTCCTCCCCCCAGCAAACAAATTCTGGCAGTGACTGGAGCCTTTCAACACCTTGTTCTTTTATCCTCACACCTGCAGCCTGGTCTTGAGCCTGTGGGGAGAGTGGAAGGTCCCAGGCCTGCCCGGCTCGGGGTGTAGCGGGAAGGTCGCGCCGTGCCTTTCTCCCGGTGCCTTTAGGAGCCGGCAGAGGAGAGCAAGGATGGCGAGGCCCCATGGAGATGGTTTTTCCATTCATCTGTTAACATGTTCGGTATTGTCCTCATAGGCTTATCGTTCGCTAAGTCTCAAGATGCAACTATGCTGGACTAGTGTCTTTCCATTTTCTAAAGGAGCAAGTTGAAGTTCAGGCAGTTACGATTGTTTTGGTTTCGTTATTCTACAGATAGCTGCTGTTAAGGGAAAATGTAGAAGTGCTTAAAAAAAAGGGAGGGCAGTTTTATATGAACTTAAGACAAATGGGCCTGAAATGAGTTGCGTTAACGTATTTAGACAATAGTTTGAAAGAAAAATAACATTTTTCTTTAAATATATTACCAATCTTTAAATAAAATTTAAAGATTGGTACTACATTGCAAATCATTTTCATGATTATGTATTACTCCATTCATATTAAACTATATGTAATCCCTGAAAAAATGGTGGAGTGCAGTGAATCTTGATACTTTCAGGGTCCCCCATAAAACATTAGTCATGTGATGAGTATTAAGTGTATGATCAGAAAGTAAGCTATTTTGAGATTAAATTTGGGCTACAGTTTGAGTAGGTAACATATAATCACTGTTTACTAGTTCATAATGTTTCAATGAAACTATGACCACGTGTCACCAGTTTTCATCTGTGTCACAAAAATTACAGTGTTATATTCTGTTAACTTGATTTCTGTAATGTATTGTCGAAAGGTGGAATGGAATGAGAGCAAAAGCTTTTAGTTCTAGAGCCAGTATTGCCCTGCTTCTTGCTAGTTGTTTAACCTCAGACAGGTTATTTACGGATTGCTAGCTAAGATATTTGGATAAAGTTATCAGTTGCTGTGTACCTTAGTTCCATCATCTGTAAAGTGGCATTAAAAAGAATTTCTGCTTCATAGGTTGTTGTGAAGATTAAAATGGAAGGATGAGAACTTTTGTTAACCAAAGGGTACAAGTGTTTACTTAAAACTGACCTGGGCAGGAAGCCTTGCTACAGAAACTGATTTTGAAAGTTCCAGATGTGTCTTCTTGTATTAGTTTATCTACAGTGGCTTCTTAGAAAATAAAATTAGAAGAAAACAATACTAAAAAAAAACACTAGATGTCTATATAATTTAATAATGAATAATTAAAAAGTGAAGCCCTTTTGGCTTTTCTCAGTAGTAGAATAACAGCAAATATTTTTTTTTTTTTTTTTTTTTTTTCTTTTCCTTTTTTTTGTATTTGATGTGTTTTGCTTTGTGTCTCTTGGAACTCATTGGACCTCCATGTCAAACACTAGTATTTCAAAGATTAAAAGCACACAGCACAAATAGAAACCATAAAACTTCAAAAGAACCTATTACGCAATGTAAACTGCCTTTTGAAAATAACAGTTTTCAGTAGCTGATACCTGGAGTAAGTTCCTGCTTTGAGAAGCTATACATTTACAATTAACTTGCTTTTTTTTTTTTCTCCTCTCAAGTCATTTTTGAAACTTCTTTTGTTGAGTCAAACAAGTACTGGGTTGGCCAAAAGTTTGTGTCACAAACTTTAAATATCAGCAGGCACTTAAAAAACTTATCAAAATTGCTCAACTTTTGTGCAGCCATTTTAATATTGAAGATGGAAGAAAATATACAACATTTTTGGTATATTATGCTTTATTATTTCAAAAAAGGTAAAAATGCAACTGAAACAAAAAATGATTTGCATTGTGTATGGAGAAGGTGCTGTGACTGATAGAACATGTCAAAAGTGGTTTGCGAAGTTTCTCGGTAATATTGACATTTTGGTCAAATTATCCTTTGCTGTTGGGGCTGTCTTATGCATTGGAAGATGTTTAGCAGCTTCCCTGGCCTCTACCCACTAGAAGCCAATAGGGGGAGATAGCCAACATACTCAGAATATCCAAATCAATAAAGTTATAGGTGAAAATGAAAAATGTCTCTTATTTTATGGAAAAAACTAAACAGACTTGGCAAACCCAGTAGCTCCTCTACTCCTTTCATGTGAAATCATTATACCTATTAGACATTTATATACCTGTAAATCATTATACCTATTAGACATTGTACCTATTATACCTTTCATTGTGGTTTTGCTATGGTGGGCATGATAATTTTTATTTAAATAGGTTTTTTAAATTGTTGGATCTATATGTCTATAATTCTTCCTATATAATAAGTTCATTATACACTATAAACATGTTAAGTATGTGTGTAGTCAGTAGAATCTGTCTGTACAAATAGTGCCCAAATATGGGATCTGGCAGAAGTAACGTCTAGTTCAGTGTGGTTGCTGGGGTAATAATATGGGTGTCATAATTTATAGTTTTAATTTGAATACTTCACCTAAAATGTCATATGCTGTGCTTGAATGGGGTATTGTTATGTTACAGAATTATGTTTATAATTTTGTAATAAAAGGGGGCGTTATTTGTGCCTGACACTGTATCTACCAATGTCAAAACCAAAGGGCCAGAAATTAAATTGTTTAAGCTGAACACTTAATGGTCACTGACTATGTGTAAGATATATTGGGCTCTACTAGACTGTAAAGGTAAGGACTCCATTTCTGGACCTTACAGGACAGTGGAGTGGGGGCTATAATACATGTAAATGAATAGCACGGTGCCATATATAAGAAAGGGGTGCCGATTGAAAAAGTTGGTAATACTATAGAGTATGTGAGAAAGTGAGTGATTTTCACTCTGGAACCATTAGAGGTATCAAGGAGAAGAGGGAACTTTTCAGCTTAGTCTTGAATGATCAACAGTAGTATTTTCAAAGTTAGTCATGTAGAGTATAGGCATTTAGAGAGAATAAACCATATTTTGGATGTCAGTTGTTTGCCAGACACCCACCTTTGATAGTACTCATTATCATTATAAATGTTTGCTCGTATTTATTCAGTGTTTACACTAAGCCAGAATGAGTCTTAAGAGTTTTATAATATTAACTTATTTCATCCTCACAAAAATCCTGTGAGGGAGGGAATAACTCATTGACAGATGAGTTTTTTTTAACTCATGAGTAGGGGGAGACAGATGAGTAGGGGGAGATAAGGACACTTGTACAGGTGAAATAGCTAAAAAAAAAGGGGCACGGCTGTAATTTGAACTCAGGCATTTGAACTGCAGAGCCTGTACTTTTAATCACAATGATCTGCTGGCTGCCTTATGATTGAGAGGACTTACTGTTGTTTGAGACACGGAGGTTGGGAAAGAACCAGAGGATCAGCTATAACAATGTGACTTTTTTTAGGTTAAGTGAATTCAGTAATGTTAAAAAAAAAAAAAAAGGGTGTGGGGCCAGTTTTAGAAATTACATTGATAGGCAAGAAGGAAAAAGGCGTCAAATTCCATAAATGGTTTTTTGGGTGTGTTTTATGTTCACCTGTAGATCTGAGAAGTGTATATAACAAGTATAAAAAGTTTCAGAATGTTTCTTGTATTTCTTTTTATTTATTTTTAAATCCAGTCGGTACTTACCAGTTGATTATAGCAGTACCTTTTACACTTTCTTTCCTACACACTGCAAGTCCTCACTTACGCTCTTAATAGGTTTTGTGACCTGAAGCAGAGCAACTTATAACAAAACACATTTTACACACATAGGCTAATTTATATAAACAAGACTTAAATTCCTGCATCTCATCAGCATTATAACAAAACAACATTTAGCAAAAACGAAGTGATTGGAGGACCTGCTATCTTTGGAACAAAAAACAATCATAGTCAAACCTCATGCAAAGTAATTACAGGAAAAAAAAGTTAACATGCATGTAAACACTGAGCGCATGCCAGAGCTGTGATCACAGAGTAGTTGACAAATATAACCTAATCTTTCAGTTGAAGTAAACAAATAATTAATGAGGTATGAATAAGTAAATTACAAATATGAAAACTCAGAAATTAGGTAATATTATTCAGAAAATAATTGTAATTGATAGAAAAATTGCTTCATAATTTTTTATACATGAAAACTAGAAAAACTCAAGAGTTAATTTCTTATGAAAAAGGGTAAAGAGAAACTTAGAAATCAAAATAAAATGCAGAAGTGAAAAAAGTAGTTATTAAAGTTCTACAAAAATTTTTTTAGCATTTTATTTATTTTTAGAGAGAGGGGAAGGGAAGGAGAAAGAGTGGGAGAGAAACATCAATGTGTGGTTGCCTCTCATGTGTCCCCCACTGGGAGCCTGTCCCGCAACCCAGGCAATATGCCCTGACTGGGAATCGAACTGGCAACCCTTTGCTTCACAGTCCCATGCTCAATCCACTGAGCTACACCAGCCAGGGCTCTCTCACTTAAAGTTCTGCAAAATTTAATAAAAGTAGTAGGACTTTCTGTAGAAGAAAGGCAAAGCAGTGAAACAGAACAAATTTAAAGTGAAAATTTGCTGACAGTAAAAAAGTGGATGTCAATAGGTTAGCTAGATGGTTAATGGGAAGACAAAGGAGTTTCTTTATGATTGTTTCTGTTTTGGCTATGAATTATAAGACATGGTATTTGAAGACAAAGAAGTTGCTGGTGTCGTAGCAGGTTTGATGAAAACTGAGAAGAAATGAAATCTTTTTAGAAAAGTGAACATACTGGGATATAGTAATATGATTGTTAAGTAGTGTAGAGTGTTGGTTTGAAACTTACAGTTACGAATTAAAAATAAGTCAACATGGTTGTGTGTTTTTCTCTAGTATCTTTAAGTGATTCTAGATCAGGATGAAGATAGACATTTTTTTTGAGATTTTCCCATTTAAGTATTAAGAAAGGAGAAAAGTAAAGGTAGTCAAGGGTATTTCCAAGTGAGTAATTACAGTGCTGGACCATGTGATATAAATTGCGTCACCAGAGACAAAACATGAAGAAAAGGGGAAATAGCAACACAGTGTCAGTCAGTGAGTTGGACATCTCAAATAGGTTGAGGAATTGCCAGAATGAGAATACTAGTTGGAGTGGATCAAAGCACAGAAGGTCATGTTTAGATCGGGAAAAAAATGAAATAAGAGATTTTGTCAGTGTAAATGAAAATGACTGTGACACTTGAGTGTGTGAAATGGGGTGGAAGAACAGATCATTAGGAATGAGGCAGTCCAGGACCGGGAGGTAGACTACTGGGTGGATCATCCATGTTGGGAGTCACTAAGATAGTAGTAGATGTTGGGTAGGAAGGCAGGCAGACAGCTGCTAAAATCATCAGTAAATAGGAGATTGTTAGATTCAGAAAATGATAAAGTTTGGTGACTCAAATGTCTTTTTCTTATAGGTGCTTCATCCTCCTAATCTAAACTAATATGCCAATATTTTGTTTACCCAAATAAGCACTGTCTTCTCTCCCACTTAGGTACGGTGTGGTTCCAACGCGCCACTGCAGCTTTGCTCTCCCCTCACCATCTTGTTCTCTGTACTGCAGCCAAAATGTGCTTTATTGTTTCGTGTCCAGTATTTGGAACATTCTCTGATTCTGTTCTTTGTTTCCTATCTTTTCCACTAGCCAATGCATATTATATCCATTCTTTCATGATTTTACTATTTTCCTTGAAGAGTTTTCTTCAACTCCTTAGTTTATGTGACATTTCATTTTTTTATGTGCCTCCACTTCTCTCTTGACACTTTTCTTTTGAGTCATCTGCATGCCTTGCCTTCCCTTCCCTCATGGACTCTAAGTACCTTAAACATAAAAATTGTGTTTTATTAATCAGCTTTGTATACTACTTTTTCACATAATATATTTGCTCAGTTGAACATGAGTTATACATCTTTTTGTTTTCTAGAGAATTTTTTTGATAACCAAATGAAATGAATTTTTGTTTGTTCCTGGAAGAACAATAAGGATTCAACTCTTAATTTAAAGTCAACTATTTCTACTTTTGTTTTAGCTTAAATCTTTTATTATTGATTTATTTCATGACATACTTTAATGAGTTCAGCTTGATGTGGTCACAGTGTATTCATGTAGTAGTATTAAAATATAATAAAAACTTGATGGGAGGGTCCCTAAATTAGACTATTAGAAATAACACAAAGTATTACTTTGATACCTTATTTTCAAAGTTTAGGAAGGAGATTATTTGACATGAAAGCATTTTTATCCAACTAGTGAGTTAATATAATTATGAAACAAAACCCGGACTCACCTACCTATTCCTTTGGTAAAAGTCCATTTTCATGACTTTTTATAAGAGAGAAAGAACTGATGTGATGGAGCGCATGGAGCGGGGAGAGGTGGGGCACCCGGTACGGTGTCACAGGAGGTTTAGTATCACTGTTGTTTTCTGTGTTTCATATACTTTGAGTTATATATAACTATACATATTTATAGTATATGTAAATATATGTAAGGTAGATATATGTATAAGATTAACATGCATATTATATTCATATGTATGTACACATATATGTGGTGTATATTTGGTATGTGGATATACCGTATCTACTTAACTAAAATTTTGAAACTGGGCAAAACAATATTATCGGTTAGGATGCTTATGTTTTGGAATAACTATTTGAAAAGGTGAGGGAATGGTTAACAGAAAAGTCAGGTGGTTTCCCTTAAGGAGAAAGGGTAGGTAGGGCTAGGGATTATCCGAGGGCATGAAAGGTAGGGATGGGCTTTTAAAAGCTGGCAATTTTAGTTTTTAACATTTCTGTTGAATTTTAGCCCAGAAAGAAATAATGCTTGCTCATCTTAGTATTTCTTGCATATACACATACTAGAGGCATCGGTTTGTAGAAGGTTGTTGTGTGTGACCGAAAACTTGCTCTACAGATTAAATTTTACTCATCTGTCTTTTCTATCATGGTTCATTTATTTTAACTTAATACTTTAGAATAACACCAGCATGATGTATAGTAGAAAATCCTATTTTATAAATACAGTCAGTGTGAACTTTTTACCAGGTACCTTTTGAATAAAAATCTGTACATGAAGACTTAAATATTTTATCTATGTGTACACCTACATGCCGATGTATGTCTGGGGGTACAAAACCCATTGGAGTATACCTATTAAGATGTTTTTCCCATTGCTCAAACCACTTTTTGAACTTTTGATGGTTTTTGGATTTTGATACTTTTTAGTGCTTCTGCTGTTTTTTATTTCGTTCCTTCCCCATCAGCAAAACATTCCTCTTTGAGGACTTTTTTTTATCCGGGGAAAACAAAAAAGAAGTCATTTGGGGAGAGACCATGTGGGTAAGGGGGATGGGGAACGAGGTCGTGCTATTTTTGGTCAGAAACTGGTGAACACAGTGCACTGTGGCCAGTGCTCTCCTAAATCACCCCACGGGAAATGGTTAAACTCATTGAGAGAGTCTCCAAAAAAAAGCCAATAATAAGTGAGGCTGAACACAGCCTCTCCCAACACCACCGACAACAATACAGATGGGTTCCCAGAACACTCACCTAGTGGGGGAAGCCTGTGTTACTACAAGGGGCCCACCCTCCAGAAGATAATTTGGTTTTTTGGGGGGTCTCCCCTTGTACACGCCTACCTATTCATACATGTATATACACATACTTAATAAGACAAAAATACATGTGAAACCTTAGAAGTTGTAAGTTAATTTTGTAACCTCCATTCAATATCATTTTCAAACTTCTAAAGCAATATTTTAAAATTAGGAATCTCTACATGGTGATCATTTAAAATGTTTTGTCTCATTCCATTTAAAAATGCCATTTAAAATGTGTGATTAATTTCTTCCTGTGAAATAATTATTTTAGTTAAAAAATTAGTTTTTGAAAATGTCATAAGTATTCTCTTTTTAAAACTATGAACCTTTAACTTTTAGGAGGAATTTTTAGGAGTTAAAGGTTCATAGTTTAAAATTTAAATTTAGAAAAGTTTAGTACCAATACATAGAATGTTTTCTTTATATTCAAGGTATACAAAATCTCTCCAAGTAATGAAAAAATATTTGTTTCGTTAAAGTTCCCAAAATGTTTATCTGACAAAAAGTAATTGTGGTATTTCCAAATAAATACTTCTGTTTAGTCTAGCCATATATAGATTCTGTTGCAGATGTCAATATTTGATATAATCAATATACTAGTACACTGTATAATTCTTTCAGTGTAATGAACTTTATGAACTTGATTTCATTTTTGAATACATTGGAAATTATCTTTAATACCACTTACTAATTACTGTTTTTCAATAAATTACAGCTAAACATTTACCATTTTGGAGTTTAAAGTATGTCATCATGGCAAAGTTTCGAAGAAGGACTTGCATCATTTTGTCACTTTTTATTCTATTTATTTTTTCTGTGATGATGGGTTTAAAAGTGCTGAGACCAAATAAAGCTGCTTTTGGAGTTCCTTTTGGACTTGACCTACTTCCAGAAGTTCATCAACGATCTCCTCACTTGGGGAAAAAATTTGATTCCCAAATGAGTGACAAAATCAACAGTGAAACAAATATCAAGAATTTAAAAAGAGTTGAAATCACTGTGAAACCTAAAGCCTCTGAACCTTACGGGGAAGAACTGCCACCTCTGAATTATTATTTACATGTATTTTATTACAGTTGGTATGGAAATCCACAATTTGATGGTAAATACATACACTGGAACCATTCAGTTCTGAAGCATTGGGACCCTAGAGTAAACAAGAATAATCCACAAGGGAAACACAGTCCCCCAGATGACATTGGCTCCAGCTTTTACCCTGAGTTAGGGACTTACAGCTCTCGGGATCCAGCCGTCATTGAGACTCACATGAAGCAAATATACTCGGCTTCAATAGGTAATTATTTTGTGTGTGTGTGTGTGTGTTTGGGGGAGGGCTGTGCATGTGAAATTTATAATTTTAATATTCACATTATTAATTATAAATGTAAACTTATAAACTTCAAATTATACTGTATATATGTTCTTAAACATACAAGAAATCACCTTTTAACACTACTTTAAAGCATGTTTAATTTTAAAATTTTGTGGGACTTCTGGATACATTGTTTTATTGATTTCTAATTTATTACTTTTTTAAATCTTCTTAATCTTGATTTACATAAGAGACAATGAATTCTCCCACTTTAAGTGTACAGCTCAATGATGTTTTTCAGAAATACATACTTGATTAAATGCCACCCAGTCATGAAGTAAAATACTCTGTAGCCCACCAAGTTTTGTCATGCTTCCCTTATTCAGCCCCACTCTGTACTCCAGGAGACTGAATCTGATTTCTATCACTGCAGAGAAGTTGTACATATTCTGTTACTGCATAAAAATTGAATTATTCAGCATTTGTGTGTGTGTGTGTGTGTGTGTGTGTGTGTGTGTGTGGTATTTTGTCAAACCTGCTATTTTGAAATTTATACATGTTAATGATATCATTAATTCACTCTTCATTATTGTTGAATAGTATTATGTTGTAATAATTATAACAATTTTTTCCTGCGTTCATCTTGGTGGACATTTGAGCTGTTTAAGATTTTAGGCATACAGTAATAATTTGCTCCTGTTTTTCTGATTTTTTAAAACCATGCTCATTTATATTTAGGTCTGGTTGATTTCAAATGTGTTTTCATTTTGCTCTTTCTTTTCCATTTATCCCCTCTGTTCTGTTCCTTTCGGCCTCTCTCGGCCTTCTCTTATATTGAATCATTTATTCCATTTTATATTTTTTTCTTCTGGCTTATTACATATATTTCTTCATTTATCTTATGATTGCTCTAAAGTTTACAGTATGCTCATTTAATTTAACAGATGAGAAATTGCTGGTATTTTTTTATTCTTGTCCCCCCTTTTCTTCAACTTTTCTTACTCTTACCTTCGGCACTAAAGTTATACCTACTCAGGTAGAGTCGTATTACCCCACTAGTAAATACATGAAAAAAATCTTACTGGGTGCCTGAGAATTCTTCAGGTCATTAAAATACCTTTTATAAAAACCTCCCTGTTTTGGTTCCATTTGCCTTGTAAGTGTCCCTACCATGAGGGCCATTCAGAAGAAATTGGGTGTTGTCACATTTTTCTAGTTCTACAAAAGGCACAAACTTATAAGCTGATAAGGTTATAAAGGTATGTAAGACTTTTAAATGAACAAAACAATACAGAATTTTGTGAAGCTACATTATAACTGTGCAAGATGGTTTGTTTTTCTTCTGTGGCATGTTTTTTTCCCAACTATTTAAAACAAATCTGTTTCTAGTGTATACTTACAGCTCTAGTTTCTATTTTCTATGACATAAAATATGACAAAATTGGATTGGTAAACTCAGATAACATTAACTGCTGCAAGTGTATGTTATCTACATCTATTTACGATTTACTTTTGGGAGTAAGACCTTTCAAATGACTTTTTTTCTATTTTCTACAAAGAATTTGCATTACATTCAGTTCTCTATTTCAAGGTTGACTTGTTTGTGGCTATGAAAGCTATTCTTGATTGACAGAAAAAAATGGATATTCATGCTAGTTTTAGTTTTCTTAATGCGAACTGAACTGTGTACAATGAGGGTTTTTCCCCTTAGAGGTATAACTGTGCGTGTATATATGTGTGTGTGCATATACACACATACACAGTATTGTATGTGTGTATACACATATATATAATATGCAAGCAATGTATAAATGGCATATGTTATGATTAAGAAGAAAGTTTAAGTTCATATTTAGTTTTATGCCTTTCTAATGTTTATAAAGATCTTTCCCCCTATAAATTATTTACTACTACATAATATGTGTGGAGATGAATTATTTCAAAACATTGTCACCCAATACAATTATTTTAATATTAAATGCTGACTATTTTAATATTGATGCAGATACTTCTTTGGTAGATTTTCTGCTATTGAAAATTTTAAAAAACTTGATAATAAAGAAAAATTTTAAAAACTTGATAATAACATTACAATGCATCAGTAAATATGTTACTTCCTTATTAAATATTAAGTTATACTCATTGTTTTTATTGAGATATAATTGTATTTAACATTGTGTAAGTTAAAGTGTATAGCAGATTGACTTGATATATTTATATTTCAATATGATGGCTCTTGTTGCATTAGTTAAACCCTCTATCACATTACCTAATTATTATTCTGCTGGTGGGAACAATTAAGATCTAGTCTGTTAGCAAGTTTAATGTTTCCAGTAGTTTTGTTTATTGTCACCGTGTGTTAGATCTCTAGGTTGTGTTACATACTGGTTGCAAGTGTGTATCTTACACAACGTATCTCCCTTCTCCCTGCCTACCATTTACTAGTGACCACCATTCCACTCTCTTTGGAGTTGGTTGTTTTTCCCCTCAATAATATCCCATTAGTGTATATTTATATATATATCAATATCTTTATCCATTCATCCACTGATGGACACTTAGATTGTTTTCATATCTTGGCTGTTATAAGTAGTGGTAAAGTAAACATGGGGGTCATATATCTTTTTGATAACCTGTTTTCATTTACTTTGTATATATATACCCAGAAGTGAGAATGCTGCGTCATATGATAGTTCTATTTTTATTTATATTTTTAAAGATTTTATTCATTTATTTATTTATTTATAGAGAGAGGGGAAGGGAAGAAGAAAGCAAGGGAGAGAAACATCAATGTGTGGTTGCCGCTTTCACACCCCTGGCTGGGGATGTAGCCCACAACCCAGGCATGTGCCCTGACAGGGATTTGAACTGGTGACCCTTTGGTTCACAGGCTGGCACTCAGTCCACTGAGCTACACCAGAAAGGGCTGATAGTTCTGTTTTTAATTTTTTGAGAAATCTCTACACTGTTCTCATAGTGGTTAAACCAGTTTACATTGCCTCAAAGAGTGCACAAGGTTTCCTTTTTCTCCATATTCTTGCCAGTAATTGTTGTCACCTGTGATCTTGACTCTAGCTACTGTTAGTGGGTATGAAATGGTATGAATTGTGGTTTGGATTTGCATTTTCTGTGATGATTAGTTACTTTGAGCACCTTTTCAAGTACTTGTTGGCCATTTGCATGTCTTTGGAAATATGTCTCTTTAGTTCCTCTACTCTCCCCCCTTTAAAGAAAATTTTCATATTAACCCCTTATTCATTACATGATTTGCAAATAATTTTTCCTGGACTATAGATGCATTCTTATTTTGTTAATGTTTGCTTTTTTAGTGTAGAAGCTTTTAACTTTGATGTAGTCCCAGTTGTTGAATTTTTCTTTATTATTCGTGCTTTGGGTGTTATATCCAAAAAAATGATCACCAAGACCAATTATCGGGGATTTTTATGTCTATGTTTTCTTCAGGAGTTTTATGGTTTCAGGTTTTGTGTTTAAGTCTTTGATTCATCTTGAGGTGATTTTTGTGAGGGATCTAAGATAGGGATACTTTTTTGTGTGTTTATCCAGTTGAAGAGACTATTCTTTCTCCATTGAATGTTTATCCACATTGGATGCTAGTCTAGTGTGTATGTTGGGGTTTAATTATGGGCTGTCTAGTCTGTTCCATTGGTCTGTGCCTGTTTTTATGCCAGTACCATATTGTTTTAATTACTACAGCTTCACAGTATTGTTTGAATGTGAGAAGTATGATGCTTCCAGTTTTATTTTTATTTTTTCCTTATTGTACCTTTGAACATTGGGGGTCTCTTGTGGTTTCATACAATTTTTGAAGACTGATTTTTTTTAATACTGTGAAAAATGCTGTTGGATTTTGATAAGGATTGTGCTAAATTTATAGATGGCTTTGACAGGGACATTTTAACAATATTAACTCTTTCAATTCATGACATCAGATCCTTCCATTTGTTTGTGTTTTCTTTTCTTTAATCAGCCTTGTAGTTTTCATTGTACAGATCTTTTGCTTTCTTGATTAAATTTATTCCTGGGTATTTTATTGCTTTTGATCCTGTTGTGAGTGGGATAGTTTTTCATGTTTTATTTTCTATCTAGAAATGCAGCTACTTTCTGTGTATTGACATTATATCCCACAACTTTACTGTAGTCACTGATTAGGTCCAACTGTTTTATGAGTCTTTGGGATTTTCAGTGTACAGGATCATATCATCTGCAAATAGTGATCATTTACCTCTTCCTCTCGTGTTTGGAGGATTTTTCTTTGACTTGCTTCATTGTCCCAGATCACACACACTTGTGTTATTCCTAATTTTAGAAGAAAAGCTTCTAGTTGTTCTTCATTGAGTGAGATGTTAGCTGAGGGTTGGTTATATATTGCCTTTTGAATGTTCTGGTTATATTCTTTCTGTACCCAGCCTGTTGAGGGATTTTTTATTCTAAAAGAATGTTGTATTTTTCAAATGTTTTTTCTGCATCTTTTGAGAATGATGTGATTTTTATCTTTCATTTTATTGATGTGGTTTATTACATTTATTGAATTGCATGTGTTGAACCATCCTTGAATACTGGGGATAAATCCCACTTGGTTATGATGTATAATCCTTTTGGTAAGTTCTGAAATCAATTTGCTAATATTTTGTTGAGAATTTTCACAATTAGATTCATCAGGGTTATTGGTCTGTAGTTTTCTATGTTCTTATCTGGCCTTGATCAAGGTAATGCCTGCTTCATGGAATGGATTTAAAAGTGTTTCTGCCTGTGACATCATCCAGTCCTGAGGATTTCTGTTATTGGAGGTTTTGGTTATGATTCAGTCTTCTTACATGTTATTGGTGTGTTCAGACTTTCTGTGTCCTTTCCTGGTTCAGTGTTGGGAGGTTATATGATCCTAGGAAATTGTTTTTTTTCCTAGGATATGATCCTATTTATTTCTGTAGTTTTAGTTTTAATTTCTTCTCTTTCATTTCTGA